ATTTTACGTTATTCTGATAAAATTACTTTCCATTGGTTGTTACCACCTTCTTTTCTCTTTCTATCTCAACAATTTCTTATAATCAAATAAAGATTTTTATTAAGTTTATGTTTAGATTAAAGAATCAACTTATGGTCACTTGATAAAGAAAATGTATAAACCTGTGAGTACATACATTTAATCGGCAAATAAAATAACTTCTGATATAAACTACAATAGTTGGCCTATATTAACTGAGTTGATTAGTTACCTAGTTATATGGACTGGTTGTAAGGGAGAAAAAAAATTAACTATTAATTTAATAATTATTATTAGTTGAACCTAATTTACCATTGTAAATTATTCTAACGATTTATTCAAACTAACATCGATAGATTAGGGGTCTCTAGTCGGTGAAGTGATAATTCATAATGGTATAGATCAATAACACATATTTACAGATCCAGTAAAAACAAAGAATTTTATTAGATAAATCTCTTTAACTCTGAATGATAGATTAAATATAATTCACTAATCGACTAATATTGCTATTCTATTAAAGTACACATTAGAATTGTGTTTTATTAGTTCAAATGTTAACTAGTTGGATAAAATAAGTCATAGAATAGTACTTATATTGACACTCTTGTGCTTCAAAAGATATTTCAATATTCAATATTCAATGCTGTATCATGGTCAACATAATCCGTTAAGCACTATAAACAATTTTTTAATTATTTATTTGCAACTTCTGTAATAATTTTTCAATATAAATTTCCTTTTCTGTTGAACTTAGAAAGAAAACTTACTTATTCATAATCTATTGCTTAAATAATATGTTTATGCTACTTTTTATAACCTCATATGACCTTGATCTTTAGCTACCATTCTCATATTCATTCTAATATGTGTTTAACAAAAGTTAATAACACTAATCTTATTAAAACTAAAATCCTCGATCTGATATTTTAATGTTAAAATTTATCTAGGAGAGTAGTACAATGTTTTTATTTGTTCTAGACTTTTTTTGAAACAGATAATCTTTGATAAGTCACATTACATCTTAGAATCAGATCATAAAAATCAGCTACTCTTATAAACTGTATATAAGGAAATGATTAAAAAATAATGACCCATTTCTTATATCCAAAAATATGTAGAATTTCCTATCTTTGGTGTTTATTGTGTTAGTATAAGTCGCTTCCGAATGTAAAGATATTTCATTTTATAAAATATATTAATATTCTTATGGTAAAATTTAAAATAATTTCAAAAAATAAAGAAACCTTATTCTTCACATATTGATTTGTTCTCCTATATGACCTCAATATATACACAGAAGCAATTATGAGTGTTGTAAAAAAACAAACCTATTTAGACTTTTACCATTGAAGTGAATCCCAACAATAGATATTTTAAACTTAATAAATGTAACAGATGCACATTTCATGGTTTTCATTTTACACCAAAATAATCAATAAGTTTCAACTAACTACTTTCACAAAAATGTTTTCTAAAAGAAAATAGGATTTAATATTAGAATAGACGAGTCGTGGTTATTATTGAAATCTTGAGTTCCAGTTTTGCCTTATTTGGGTATCGTCAGCCGAATATCTGTATACTTGCACTGGGACTTGAACCAAGTACTTTATTTTTCAGATAATCATTGCGTTACCCATTGAGTTACTGAAACCAGATAGGCATTAACTTGTTTACTACTAAGGGTTTAAATTGTCCCAACATTGATATTCAGGACTGAATTCCGGTTAGTCTTTGTTAGCGTACATTTATCCTGTGCAGATTGTTCTGTTTTAAATGTAGTATAAATGAATTGTGGTTAGCAATGGAATTTTCAACCTTTCGTAGTCAATAATATTTTTTTTACTTGATGTAAAAGTGTAATGAATAAGGTTCTTTCTAGACAATTGATAAAATCACTTATCAATAGGGACAAAACTCAGTCCTAGTGATAAAGGATAGAAAAAGTGAAATAAACGAGATAAATCAATCGTGTCTGTTTTTGCGAAAATATATTTATTGTAAACAAAAAAATGAGAGATGGAGGAGGGAGAGGAAGAAAACGCACTTTAATTTAAAAATGTTATCTTTTACATACCTTAGTTGAACTAAACTGTTTACACTTTTTATGGGCAAATTTTTAAAATCCATCTTTAACTTGTTATTTCATAATCAATTAAGCTTCATTTTCTCTCATTCCTACCACGATTGATGCTGTTGATACGCTAGTTTCTTTTTTTCACAGTTATTTGGGAAAAAACAGATCATAGGTTATAGTTACTTTATTCTTCCCCTTCTGATAAGAAATGAGTTTACAAATAAAAACTATCAATCTATGGATATAAAATAGAATCTATTCAATAAGTTTCGTGTAAAAGACACATCGATTAGTCAGTAAAGAATAAATTAATGAAAATAACCCTGGATACGATTCTAATTATTATCTATGATATATTTTCTTATATTTAATGGTAACGTTAACTTGAATCTTCTCATGGATGTTTAGGACTGTAACTGATCAGTCTCTTGTTGGTATATGTGCATACTGTGCGTATTGCCTCCATATTGCTTTAATTCACAAGCATTGTAAACAAAGATAGATTAGAGGATAACTTGCGCAAAAAACAACATCAACTACCATTGATTATGTCGATGAGATCGTCTATTTTATCAATGAAAGTTTTTGAAAAGAATATTGAAATGATAAGCAAATCCTACTTTTCATTTTACAGTTTCAAACATAAACTCGATTTCATTGTTTCTGAATTTATTTACTTTTTTGAAAATAAAGAATTAATCTATTTTTGTTTTTCTTAACTAAGATTTTGTTATTTCATTATCATTCAGAATGACATCAAATTTACAATTTCATATATGTGAATATTTTGATTGGCTATTGAATGTAGCAAAGGAGTAGATTTACAAACAATGTATATGTATTACAGAAATAGATCGGAAGTTGTGTCTTTTTTACCCCAGTTTCGTTATAGTTTTATTTAATCGCAGTTCTGATCTCTCTTTTCAAATAGCCTTAAAGTATAATTCATATTCTTGTTTGTTCAGTTTTTGTGTTTATTTTCTTGGGTTATACTTGCTGTTATGATTTTACACATATACTTTGAGTTCCCCTATGCATACATCATGCACACGCATGCATACCCATACACATACATACAAACATACATGCGTAAAATGCATATTCACGTGTATAACCATTTTCATATTCTCGATTTCAATCTTCCCACATCTGATTTACTCGTATCAGATCATTATGACACAAACAAATATGGAATCCGCTTTATTTTTCTTATTCACTTGAAAAGATTCATCATAGATATTGTTGTTATTGGTTTATTCATTTCTCTCATTTATTTTTATTCTTAACAAATTTTCTCTTTTTTTTCTAGAAAATATTAAACCAAAATTTAATCTTAATTGAAAGTTGAAAAAAAAGTCATTAACTTTCTTGTTCTTATATCTAAATTTTCTTATGTAGTAAGGAAAAATAATTAAACTGTAGGTAAATTTAAAAGAAAAGAATTTATTTTTCATGATTATAGTCAAGAAAGATTAACATTAGACCATCATTGAAAACCGAAAACCTAGAAGCATTGGATGATTATTTCGTTCTAGTATGGGACTACTCAGCAATGTCCATCCACAATCTCACGCGCGAAACTCGAGCCCGCGAATACTTAACCTCTGGACCACTAAGCCTGTGTCCAATGTTGTTAATGTCTAACTTAAATTAGTTCACTATATTGTACAACCAGTCTTCATTGTCTTCAGTGAGTGACTGCCTCACACCCGACACAGATTGGATTCCACTAATCACGGCTTCTCACTAGAACTCCATGATGATTATTGTCAGATTGCAGGTTTGTAGTCTAACATTTATCCATTCGTGATCTCAATCAAAATTCATCAATTACCATAACCCTTTACTAATAAAGTGATTTGTTATAAAGCCGAATTTCATTTCAATTAAATAACGAATTCAATAATTACTAAACAAGAATTATAACGTTCAATTAAAACATCAAATTATTATTGAATTTTGTTTGATTTAAGTTAAATTCTGCATAATAAGATCTAAAAGTAGCTAATATTGAAGTGAACGAAGACGTAGTGAGAGTAAACAGTTTATTATCGGATGCAAAATTACAGTTCTTTAGTAAAATATAAGAACCATACATTGAGTGCGTCATTTGCGAATCGTCCATCAAATTTCCTTCACATCCTTCAGGACTCTTCTGATTCTTGATTCCTTCCTATTTTCCCTTGTATTCTCTTCAACTCAATCTTCCCAACATTTTTGTGAACAAAAATTGACAGAGTACAAAAATGGGGTAGTTACAATCATATTTAACAATTCAGGCAATAATTTTATTTGAATTCTCTTATATTTATTGACCTGTTAACAGAGATTTAATGATGATTTACATAGTGTCAATTTGTGATAAGAAATGTATTTTGTATCGAATCCTGTCAACCTTGGGATGTTCAAACAGACTAAAAATGGACCTTTTTAACTTGTGTTTTGTTGACACTTGAAACCTTTCTGTCATATCGAAATTACGAACATATTTGAAGAAGAAATATAACTCATTTATCAAGTACAGGTTTAAGTATTCTAATTTCAGTCATGATTTGGGTGCATGCTCATAATGGAATTTACAAAGCACATGTTAAAAAACGATGCATACTGTTTGAAAGCGCATTGGTAAGTACATGAAGACTCTACTTCACTTTAGAAGGAAGAAAGAGAAAATGAGAACGGATAAGGTTGAAAACTCAAATTAATTCGAATTTTACTATGAAAATTATTTCTAGCAATTTTATTCAGTTTGATTCTAATGATTTTTGGATTGCATCCTTAAAAAAATTAATATTTGTGTTCTTTTCTTTTTTTTACATTTTACACATTTCATCCACTGCACCAATTATCAAACTCCCCTGGATTTAACCTTCTTTTGTCTCATCATATTCGTTATTCTGAACAGATGGCTTCTTCAAATCGATCAATGTTTACTTCTGAACAAGAACTAAATTTATTAGTAAGTGTTTATTTCCGAAAAAAAACATTTTAGTTGTTTGTTTATTTGTTATCGTTTTTTTTCATCTTTTTTTAGGTTATTTTTTTCTCTCTAACGATTATTCTTTACATCTTCAGTTGTTTCTTGTTTTCTGTTTGAGTTTATTTGTATACTTGTTTTTCTAAACAAAAAGAGGGTTATGTTATTTTCTCAATTCTAATGTACAAACTAACTACTATTTACTTTTTTATTTGGTAATGAGTTAGATAAGATTGTTTTTTTATTGATTATCTACTGATACGTAAGTATATGTTTAGTGTTTGTGTGTGTGTGGACAATACGTGTAATGAAATGAAAATGTAACATTCAGAGATATAATTATGATGATAAATAACCATTGTCCTTATCCAAAATTCCATAGTGATAAAATACTTCCAAGTTTTAGCTAATTAAATACACTGATTTTTTAACAAATTTAAAATTTGAACACTGAAACAGTTTTGTTTGACTACAAGACAACTTTTTAATAATTATGATCCAATTAGTTCATAATAGTTAATGAAGTTATAATATTTTATCTGTTTGGTGGTTTGTGATGATATGTAACTCGTCCGTTAAAGGGAGTGACAATAATAATAATAAAACGGAAGTAAAATACTTAACAATGTGCGTCACGAACTGAAACTTCGAGAAGTAATTAGTCATGAGGTTAATGGTTGAAAACAACTCATTTGATATATCTGATACCAGATGTAAATATACTACAAATGTACAAGCTCAAAGAGAGAGTATCTTGGAAGTGTCCATTTACCATTATTTTAGATCATTTCAAGAGTGTTTGAATGTTATACAGAGCCACATGAAGTAAGTAGTAGGTCAGAAATGAACAACTGTGAAAAGTATCACGATCCGTTGACAACATATATGGGTAATCGGTAATTATCCTCATTGTTGCACAGTTATAAAACATTTTTCCAATTTTTGCTTTAAGCTTCATTTATCTTAATGTAACAATTAGCTGATTAAGACAGTTGGCATTTAAGGTGACTTCAGTAAACTGAAAAGTCTTCATAAAATCAGCAGTTTATACTTAATTAATCCGTTTTAAAATATTCATCATTATAGAATGAAATCAGTTAAGAAAATACTCAGTAACAACAAATAACTGAACACAATTTGATATTGTTTGGTAATTCATTAAAATTTGAAGAGGATTATTCTAGTTTATAGTTGATCAGAAGTAAAAATCCGAAAACATTATGGATTTACGGATGAATTATTGAATAAACCATCAATACTTTACATTAACATTTTGTTTGAGCCATTGGATGTTGTTTATCGATACATCGTCGTAAACAGTAACAAATGAGTTCTACATAAAACTGATGGATTCAAGTTAAAGTATTCAGAAAAACCATTACATTGTTTTTCAAACTGAACTCTTTTCCAGGGATAAAGCAATATACTTCATAAAGTTACTTATCATTAAATAGTCCTCACTCTTCAGTAGTAAGGATATAAATAAATCTTTAGGATTTATGATACCCTGAACATCTAATATCTCTTTGAACGTATCAACAAAAGACACTGATACTGTATGTTATGCCGAAGAATTCCAGTAATTCACGACTCAATACGAGAAGCAAATTTACAGGAGCAAAATATTTAATCTCAGTCATTGAACATTCTGAAAATGTTCTGTCAATAGATCAGTCCTAGACGCAAGAAATTGTTAAAACCTAATAACAGTAAAATCGTATTCTATAATAAAGTAATCTGCAATTTTGAACATATATTGGATCATTTATAAATTTCCTTCGAGATCCAGAAGTCTATCACAACCACCTTAGAGTTTCCTATGGCTCTGAGGTCATTGGCTACAATGACTTCTAAATCGTTGTTATCAATGATTTTAGATTAAGGGATTCCTATGACTTATTATTTCATACTCTTAGAAATATAACGTAGTATCCGAAGACTGGAAAATAATTTAACAATAATGAATAGGATGATAAAAAATGCCAGTTAGCTTTCAGAAGTTAAGTTCAACGCTCAATTCGCAACTGACGACTTCATGTGTAGTTTCAATTCCTGGACTTCCTGACATCAAAATCCCTTGTCATATTCATGCTAGATTAGTTAAAGGCCAGTAAAAAAAAGTTTATTTTTTGAAAAGTATTGATAAACTGATGATGTCAATGTTAGTATTGGATCACTTTATCATTCGTGATTTTCATTATCATATGGTTCAATATTTATTTGCAAATGAATTTCTTCCAAAAAATGCATCAATTTGATTTGCATTTATTATATTTGTTATATTTTTTTGATATTTGTTGATAATACTATTGAAGGTGTGGTATTTATATTAGAGATAATAAAATTTATTTTGTATGTTCCTTCAGTTGGTTGGTCTGAAACCGGATCAAATGGAGTAATTTTAATTTACTGAGTAGTTTATAATCAAAGATTTAAATTGTTTTCTATCAGAATTCGAATTTTCATTTTTAGTAAGATCGTAAGCCAACATTTTCACCAATTGTAATTTCAATAGTTGAGATCATGAGTCAATTGAAGCTAGACCACCATGGAAAACATGGAAGCATTGGACGGTCGATTCGCCTTATTGTGGGACTTCTCAGTAGTGCGCATTCACAATCCTGCCTTGTGAGGTTTGAACTCAGCACCTATCGGTCCCACGAGCGAACAATTTATGCCAATAAACAATTATATTCTAAGTTTTGATACGATTTCATAAAATACTAGTCATTTGAAACTGATTGAATTAATTTTTATAAAGTTCATAATTTTAAGCATAGTCTGGTAAGTTTAAACAATATTGCTCATTAAGTTTATCATTTGTAATGCATATTTAACGATAGGAGACACCATTCACTCAATGTCGAATATTATTTATTTAAGAAATGGGAAGAAGTACTTTGTTAATTATTTAATAAGTTAACTTCTATAGAAAACAAAAAACACGCTCCTATCATTGTCTATTTTAGATTATTCAAGCGATTCATGTGCTTCGGTTTCATTTACTGGAAATTGAGAAGGTAAGTGTGATTGATTTTTAAAAAATGTTGATATTCATATACAATAATTATTTTGTACTATTTGCGTATGACAATCTTTGATTATACTTTTCAGAAAGTAATTAACAGGCTTAAATCCTCATGTTCGAAATAAGAATTAAATGATTGTTTATGTTTAATAATAAATAAAGTTGGAAGCTTTATTGAATATAACAGATGACTAATTGTAGTATATAGGTGATGAATCTTAAAATCACTATTTACAATAAATGGATAACGATAATAACTGGAATACAACAGATGCATATGTCTAGATTTCAGCTATTTAACAGAATATACGCTCTATTGGTGAAAAGATCGAAATCACATTCTTTTGATCACATAAGTTTCATAAACAAGATCATAAGAACAAAGTATACTATGCTTAGTGTATTTTTCACTTTATAAAAACGTCGTTTCTGTTAATTTTAATAAATATTCATTGAACAATTAATGAGTGTAATTCGTCTTCGGGCCAATAAATAGTGTTTAGGATGGATCTAACTCTGAAGAACTACATCAAAACTAACTTACACTTAAATTAAAAGTCAAACGTTTTGAGTTCTTCTGAATACTTGATTTATACACATAGTCTAGAAATCAATATAATGAGTTTTCCTTCATTCATAACGACACAAAGTAATTTTCTTATTTTATTTAAATGCTGTTAAGCCAATAGTAAAGATTTGGCTATCATATAGCTTACCACAAGGTATGTTATATTGTAACATAAAACTTTTCAAGCTACATTTCTATTATTCCACATTGAGTTCTAAGATAATAGGTCTCATACTAATTGTAATTTCAAAAAATAAGGGTACTATAATTGATGAACATATGATGCTATTAGAAATTTTGTATATCCATTGATAATACATAAAACTTAATTCAATTAATACTAATTTCATTCTTATATTTTGATAATAATGTATAATCGGTGAATGATTTATTAGGCGATATCAGGATTAGGTTTTTATTAATAAGCTATCAAAAACAATGGCAAATTAAACTATGAATAGGCTAATACATTATTCATAATAATAAAAATAATAAGACAGATAATAATACAAGGAATAACATTATCTATTTTCTACATAAGTAAATCTATTATTTGCAGGCATATGCAGTGATAACATTCATATACAAACATACAAACTAGTAGATAAGGGAAGTATTTCATCTAAATACTAAGGAGTTTACACTTACTGGTTTATACATACGTTCATTTTCGTAGTATAACAAAACACCAAGCTTGTAGTATAATAACAATATAATATATAATATAGCAATAATAATAATAATTGGTTCATTAGTATTGCTATTTTTCCTTTCTATTAAACACAACGATTTGTCGACTTTTATTTTTCTAATATTATCACTAGTTTGAATCATTAGTAGTTACAGTGTAGTTTTTGCTTTCATATGCTTCATTCTCACTTTCCTGTTGAATGCTTTCACCTTCTTGTATTTTTTTTGTCTGTCCTTTTCTCTCTCGTTTATTGTCTTCTTCTTTTCTCTTTTCGACTTGTGATGTTGTTTTCTTCTTTCTATTCTATCACATTTACTTTTCTTCCCCCTTCACTTTAATCTTTTTCTGCTCTTCTATCTTCCTATATATTTCTGCCTATCTCTACCGCTTCTCACCAATAAACTATGAATACGAGTTAGAAAGTTTATAAATATAGAGAAATAAACTCTTATACTATTGAATGATTGAACGAATAGATGAATTAATGAATAATAAATGATTAATTCCTTTCGATATTCTCCTTTTTGATATTATAAAAATATAAAAAGTTTATATCAAGTAGAAATCAAACGAATATATATATATATATATAAACTGTACATCAAAGTTTGTCTCTGTACGTGTGTCTAACCTAACTACTTCGCTTAATCTTTACTAATCATTTGTAATTCATAACACTGACAGTTTTCTACAACCGAAAATGACAGTAATACATATTACCTTGATAGTTGATTGTAAATAATTAAATTGGAAATCGATTTGGTTGAAAAAAAAGTAACATATAGAGTACGAAATTTACTCACAATCTTCTTTATTTAGGCTTAGCAATATCTCACTAACTATTCAAAAAAAAACTTTTTCAAAGAATTAACGGTATTTTAACTTCATAGTTACAGTACTACCTGTATGAAGGTAAAATATTCATTAGAAACTATAAAGCTTATGGAATTATGTTGGAAATGAGAGAGGAAGTTATCATTGGAATACTTTGAATTAAAGGAGAAACAATTATTGCCACGTTTGTGATGTGCAATAATTATGTGAAAAAATGCACAAAAATACGTCATATTATAAATACAAATAAATCATATATCGTAGAAATAAAAAGTAAAGTATTTAGTAAACTATACAGTCCTTAAATGTTTCATTGAAGTCGCAAATCAATTAAAGCTGGACAACCACTGTAAACCTGGAAGCATTGGAAGACCGTTTCATCCTAGTATGGTTATGTTCAGTAGCGTGCACCCACTGTTGCGCTAATAGAAGCCGAACCCAGGACCTTGTTTGAGAACGGTCAACCTCTAGACTGCTGAGCCGTGATCCAACGGTGTTAATGTTTAACCCCAGATAATTCACAGCATTCAATGACCATCTTTCATTGTCTTTAGTGAGTAACTGCCTCACGCTCGACTCAAATTAGCTCCACAGTTCACAGCTTCGCACTAGAACTCTGGGAATTTTCTTTTGAAGCTAGTTATTAGTGAACACAATAATTCTCAGTGTGTGGGTGTGGAGATTGAGGAGTTTAACTGAAATCGGGAACCGATATATAGGATATATTTAATATAACGTTTATTCATGTGCAACTGAAATAACATTAGTTTTGATTATTCTTTAAATGAGTTAGGTGACACTAGGTTAAGAACGGCTATAATGATTAAATATGTCATGATATTTACTAAACGAGAACGCAGTGTGAATAACTTGAAACGAACTACAACAAAAGTACCACAATTATCTGTTAACAGTAGTATTTTCAATAATATAACAACTATATCATCAAAATTTGTAAGTTTTTGGATTAGCCTACAATATCAGGTCCCTCTTCAAGTAACAGATAAGTAATCGTACTTGTATATTAGTGGGATAAATACTTTTCCACTCAGCAATGAACTATTTTAACTATTCTTCCAGTTAAAGTTTAGAACAAATCGGTTTAATTTTAAATTTCTAGATTAGTTTTGTGTGTTCAGTAAAGTTTTGCTTAGTATTATTTTCTCAAACGATATATTGTCAGTAGTTTATCATTGTCATTACACATTTTCAATGAAACCATGTTTCAATGATTGATTTATCCTGTTTTCAATCACTGTTTCATTATCCATTGCATCTTCACTTCATGTATTTTAGTAAGAAAGTAGTATCCTTGTCTCTTTTTTTTACAATATGTGACGCTTCAAGTGTGATACACAGAAAAGAATATGTCTACTAGATTACTTAAGTATTTAAAAGTATTTATATGTACAAAACTATCAAAACAAGCTATACATTATTGTACTATACTGGTTTATATTATCATATAATCATTCAGCTAAAGTACGTGTGATTTCAGTTTCAGAGCTACAAAGAGATATGTAATCCTTTGAAACATATTCATTTGAGTAGATCCAGTCGAACTTAGCCATAATGTTTTATGTGTCAAAACAATCCTTCTATCTAGCAGAGATTAAACTTACTGAAATGATCTATAGACTACTTGGTGATTATTTAAATCATACCAGCATTTTAGTACGAATGACATTTTATTGAATAGGTGAATATAGCACTACACAAAATGTTTGGTTTTTGACATTTCCTTATTTATGTTTTCCTTCAGCAAATTTTACGTTTACAGTCTTTTAATAACCAGTCGATTACAGGCTCTCCTGCTTCTTGTTGTTGGTATTCTTTTAATACATAATTTTAAGTGATAATAGAGATCTCTACTATTATGTTCACTGCGTATACGGTGATCATTACCACGACTAAATGAAACTGTTTCAGTGACATTGTAGATTAAGTCTTTTATGTTACGTTTCGATGATCATTTTCATTTTCAAGTTAAATCAACGCATGATTTAAATAAGGCTATCAAACCCTTGTTTTCGGTGACACTTGGAAACTAGTAATAAAATGGTTACCGAAAATCATTGCATTTTTCTTAAAACTAAATCAGATTACTCGAAAGAAATTTTTCAAATGTATTAGTGAGGAGTGCAATAATAAAACAGAATAGTCACTCACGAGTCTCTGAATCTTATCGACTGACAAAATAAATGAAAACATAATACATTTTGTAGCATAATCCTTCCAGAATATTAACTCCTTTATCCTTAAAATTAAAATGAGTTTCACATTGGGTTTTTAACAACTTCGCATTTTGGAATGACTCTGTTAGTCCCGTCTCGGTTATGCGAATATTTACCATGATTTCACATAACTTTAATACTTTCTCCCATATCAGTGGTGATTTTATATCATATCGTACATAAAGATTTGATTTTGGTTATTTCGTTCGTGTCTATACGTTATGTCGTAAACCAGGTAGATTGTGAATATTTATCTATCATATTTGGTGGTATTTAGTTGGATGATGGAATCTATCTTTTCTACAAATATTTGTCTGTGGGTTTTACTTTTTCTTCCTTTCCTATAACAGCTGTTTTCATTCCTTGTATTGTGTCACTGGACTCTAATACCAGTATGTATTAATATGTGCATATATAACTCTCCTAATATACATTTTAACACGCCAAAGATACACGGCGACATAGCACCCCGTTGTGTGTTTATTCCTAAACGACTTTGCTTATTTCAGTTCGCATAAAATATACACAATATGACAGGTTGACAGCTTTTCATAAAAAAAGAGAATAACAAATATGAATAAAGAAAAAAATAAAAACTGATATTGGTTATTTTAAATGTTTCAGGGGAATGGTGATGGTTGTGTGATGATATGGTATTAGTGAACCAAAAGAAATCTAACATCACCTAACCAACTAACTAACAAAATGTCCACAAGGCCTGGCATTTTTAATAATAACAAAAAACGCAGAGGATTACTGTATCTTTTCATTCTGTTACTAGTTGAAAGAGGAAGGAAAGAAAATCAAAATCTGTAAATAGACCATTGATACTATCGATATTATGACTACATAGTTTTATCATTAGTACCACTAGAACTACAAATACTACTAATAGTAACCAGAATAATCATCACAATATCCCGTTAGTAATCAGCGAAATGATATACATATCGTATTTATCTAAACAAAGTAAAAGATATCTAAAACATTTCCATACAAAAATTCCACTAATGTGTTACTTAGTTAACCTTTGGAATATTGTACATATTTACAAGTAATTTTTTAAAAGTATGAGGGGGTGTGATGGAGCTAAAAATTTTTTGGTTAAGTTTGGTTTATCTAAGGTAAAGTGAGAAGCTGTCAAACTTACCTCTTTTTTTCAACATTTTCTATGTTGTATGCATAAACAGTTTTTAATTTTAGTTAACTACATATGACGCACACATATATGTACATTCATACATGCAGTATAGTGATATTCATGTAACTTATACTACTCGAATAAATGATGAAATGGCATAATTACAATCAACACATAGATGAGATAGTAACCATGTTCTTTTACTGAAATTTAGCAAATAAGACAATATTAAAATAAGAATAAAAAAAGAACCAGAAATAGGAAAAAAAACATTTAGAAAAAAATTAACATTATGATGATCTACAACATTTTGTATAATATGAGATGGATAGATAGGTAAAGAGAGAGAGTGTGTAAGAGAGATAGACAACTGGATGAATTAGTGAAGGAATGAATAGTGATAAATGTTAATTTAAAGGGAAAAAATGTCGATGTTGTTTTTTTCCAATTTTTTGTGTAGAACTAAATATGATAAAATAAAAGCACAGCATGACAATACACGTGTATATGTTATGTATAGTAATTAACTATCTGACAGAAGAAATCAACAAAGTGAAAATGAAATCATGCGCAAAACAAAGAGATGGAGAAAAAGGAATGGAAATTAGTAATGAGAAATGAATTGACAAGAGATAAATTAGTCAACATACAATTTTAATAGAATTAGAAGTGATAGTATTACTAATGTTAATTGGAGTTTTTGATTGTACTCATGACCAATCACGATATGTTGGTTCTGAGTAAGTTCATATTATGTAGACAAGTTTGAGGTTGTCGAAATAAAGCGATCTGAATTTTTAATTTTTCAGTGGTTATTTTATTGATTTGTTTTGATCGTTCGAGTCTTACAATTATTGTTTAGTTTAGCAATTAATCAGCCTCTTTAGGCGTATGTGCACCCCATGTGAATTGCTCCGACATAACCATTAAATCGCAAATATTATAAGCGGAGATAGATGGTAGGTAACAATGGAATCCCCAAACAGTCTTTCATCCTGTTTACAAAACATCAGCTACATATACTTGCGTCATAGAAATAATGTTCACCCCGGGAGATCATTGGGAAGATTCGAACAACCAATACAAACGAATTAACATTCAATCCATAGCATGAGTCAGTCACCATCTGGAATCAGTGGCTAAGCAGATAACGTGATCGCTGTTGAAGTACGTGGTAACAGGTTCGAATCCCGGGGTGAACGTTTACTCTAGGAAGGAGGTACATCCAATGGACGAATCCCAAACAGAATGAAACGTGTGTTCTAGATTTAAATGCAGGCCACTATCCAACTTTATCTATAGTTGTTTCAGTGTCTAAGTATCTTGTTGTTGTTACAGCAATTTTCCAGAATAACATGTAATATGAGTTGACAGTACATAGTTATGTGTATTTGAATGTAAATACCGATAATCGTAAAAGTACTGGTATAACTGACTCACGAAGTCTGCTTAAAATATCGACAAATATCAACCATAAATTGTTTTCTAAACAGGTTCATCATTTCTTTTCTGAATTCGATTATGAAATGTTAACATTGCTGTGTATGTCCTTTTTGTATCTGATCTTGTAGGTAGGGTTTAAGTTATCCTAAACTGTTTATTATGAACAACATTACTCACTAAGCGAAGGGGAAATTGACCTCGAGTGTTTAGTAAACGTGAAAACATTGTGAATAATTTTAGCCTGGAATCAGCCATGAAGTGAAAACCTGATATCGTTTGTAATTATAGTTTTACGAGACAATTTTACATTTTTAAAAATAAGTTAGATGTTTCATCTTTCAGAGAGGAAAGAAACATTAAAAGTTTAGCTTTAATCATAATTTTATATGTCCAAAAATAGTCATATTATTCTAAATAAAAATATACACTATATACTACTTTCCAGGTAACCTTAGATAACGAATATCAACAAAAGCTTTTTTCAATCACATTTATGATAATGTCTAGAGTAATATCAGAAGTACCTCACTGGAAAAAATATGTTCTCAAAAATATATCATTTTTAATCATTTACACTTGGAGCCACACAAAAACATATAAAAGTAAGCTTATCGACTATTGTGGATTTGTATTGATTGCAGCGCCTATAATTACCAGTTTAGAGATTTTTTGAGGTTTAATTTAGATCATAAAACGATCAATATTGGACCACCGTTAAAAACCTGAAAGTGCTGGATGGTCGTTTCGTCCTAGCATAAGACTCCTCAGTAGTACACATCCACGGTCCCGCGTGCGGGATTCGAACCCAGGACTTATAAATATACTTTCTACTTAACAAACTGAATAAAGGTTTGTTGACTTACCAACATTCATATAATAGAGGTGTAGTGATCAGAAAAGACTATTCAAAAGTTTAATAACACTTATATGGACTTTCTAACTGATACGCTTCACAAGACGAGGTAATTGAATAAATGACATATTCTTATCAAAAATATTTATCAGTTTTTGGTGAAACTTCATCAGATATAAAATTAAACATTTCCAGGATATTTTTTTCTGAGCAAGAGATCTTTTATTCGTATATTTAGTCTGTTTAAATGATATTAAAAATTAAAGTGATTCGTATTTGTCTACAGAGACAAGAAAACTCAACTTCCTCCACGTGATGGTATAGTTATGTCAAGGATTATATTACTAAGACTTAGTTGAATTCATCTAATTAACCTGTTTATACAGATTATGAAGCATCATTCTCAGTTCATATTGTTTAACAATTACCAGTTAAGTAGGTAATATACACAAGAAATTTTGAATTGCCTTCTTTGTTTTTTGATATAACATCGACAAATTTACATAGTGGATCTTTGTATCATTTTCTTAACTGCTTCAGTGTGCATTGACCGTACAGTAAATGTTGATATTCTTAACTTTCACACTTTTCCTTCTGTTGTTTTACAATTATGTAATCGAGCATTTAAAAGTACACTGGAACATCTGTGAAGCTGAATAAAAATGATTTTCGCAATATTTATTCCCTAAATGATTCTCGTCATTTATGCTATGGTAGAGATTAATTTGTATTAAAAAGCAATCTTTTTTAATAAGTCGATGCTAATATTGTGTCATCGTTTGGATCCATTGTTAGATGACTGTTTCACGTGTTGCATCAAGAATTCAGCTAAAAGTTTATTCAGGAAGATTCTTCTTTATAGGTAAACAACATCTTAGAATAAGCATACTTATATGACTTGTTTGTTTAATAACAAAATACGATACACTTCCAAATAAGTTTATCGTGCGAAGGTAAAAAGGATAAGTGACCGTTTTTTACTACATATGTTTATTATATGAAGAAAAGAAAAAAAGATCAAATGTCTTATCTAAAAGAAGTCTATTTCTTTTATTTTTGTCCACTCTTACATAAATAATTTTTTATTAGCCCTTTGTTTAATTGTATTTTGAGCATTTGTATAAATAATGAAATAAAAGGGTAGGTAAAAATATTGAATGAAACTCTAGTAGGGAACAGATACAGAAACATATTATGTCGATGTAAGAGTTGTGTAACATTGGAGCATTTGTTCGCTATAAAATGCTAACACATAACCATACAATCCATAAGGAAAACATATTAGTAACCACTAGAATGTATTAGTCATACAAGTCTATTGAAGTCGAAAAACTAACATTCATACTTCAACATAAAACACAATAATGTAAACTGTATCACACCATCGATTTCTTTAATTTACACATTTACAAGCCCAAATATTTCACAAAGGACAGTGATTGTTTTATTACAAAGGTTATTTGATCACAAGGATAATTGATTGTTAAAATAAATGAATTGTAATACCCAGACAAAAAAAATGAAAAGTATTTATCTTTTATGTAATATATCAATAAGAAACCAGGTACAGGATTTGGACATGAACGAATCTTAGAGATGAATACGAAAATTGTTGAATGTAGTTATTTGCACTTTACTGGTTGACCAAATTAAGAAACTCGATTACTATCCAACTTTTAAGGTTATTTTATTTATCATACCTTGTTTTGGAAAGCCATGTGAAATAAGAAACACTTATTATTCATCCAGCTAGTTTTTATGTGAGTCCAAGTGAAGAAAAAGAAGAATAAGACAAATGAACAACAGGTTGATCACAGAGTATAATGTCTAAAATAGCCATTAGTTAAGGAAATCCAGTTCCCTACATGATTTGTACACAGAATTCGACTAACAATCAAAACTCTTGATTTATCTGGTAATAAACAAAACTTGATGGATTCATATTTTTATTACTGAATACAATTGTTTCTCAATAATTTCTTTGATTTTATTTTTCTCATTTTTTTTTATTTCCTAAAACTAGGTTCATGAATTATGCGATAGTTTTTGTTCACGTTACATTACATGTTTAAAGGGTAAAATGCCATTGGATTTAGTCTGTGAAGATAGAGAGTCTGCCGCTGATTCTACAGGTTCAGCAACAAGTCCATTTTTAAATCGTTCATCTTCACCAAATTTATTTACTGATCAAAATGAATCATTAATAAATAGTCAACAGAACAATTCTAATTTGTATAGTAATAATAATAATAATGGCTCTGTGCAAAATGGATCATTATCACTTTCAAATCATCCTCTTCAGTCATCATCATCTGCGTCGCTTACGCCAAATTCAATTCCTCATCTACAAGAATCTTGTTTATTTAATTCGGATTCATTAAACATTATGCAAACATTCAGTCGTACTAATAACAATAATAATAGTGTATCAACTGTAGAAAATTTTAAAACTATTCTGTCTAATGAATTTGAACATAATCAAATTATTAATTCTAAAAATATTGGTATTACTGCAGATTCGTCCAAATTAAACTTTTGTTTAAATGGATCCATGTCATCATCATCCACATCATCAATGGGTTCAACTTCACCTAATGCACAAGTGGTAAGTATTTTTGTGTGAAGATATTAACTGATTCATAGAATTGATGAAAATTTATTCACAAGCTGGATTTGTTTAAAAATCATCAAACATTATAAGAATGGCGGTTTGTGAGGAACGTAGAAATCTAAAAAAAAAACATTTTAATAATATTCATCATGTGCTCAAGACAGATTTCCTGGAGTTCTAGTGAGAAGCCGTAATTACTGGAGTTCAATCCGTGTCGGGTGTGAGGCAGTTACTCACTGAAGACAATGAAGGCTGGTAACCCAATATCGTGGATCGTTTTAAGTTAGACATTAACACCGTCAGATGCCGGTTCAGTAGTCTAGGAGTTAAGCGTTCGAGCACGAGATCGATGGGTTCGAGTTTCGTGTGTGAGATTGTGGATATGCACTGTTGAGTAATCCAACACTAGAATAAAATGGCCGTCCAGTGCTCTCAGGTTTTCAATGGTAGTCTAGCTTACATCAACTCATGAATCCAACTATGGAAAATACATTAGTATCAGAAGGGGTTTTGTGTAGATGAGATCATGAGTCAATTGAAACTAGACCACCATTACCAAGTTAATATTATAATCAATGTCTTTATTAAACCTATGATTTGATAACATTGATTTGAAAGACAAAAAATAACTGATTAATTTAAGATAACAAATAAGCTTTTATATTATTCATTTATTACTAATCATTCATTTTAATTTTTAATGATTCCCTTTTATTTATGATTCATATAATAAAACAATATAAGTATGAAAATATTTAAAATAAATATTGAACATAGAATATATGTATAACCCTTTCCTTGTTTATTCAAAGTGTCTATGACAAGAGCAATTCATATCCAGGGTAATATATATATATCAATAATAGTCAAATCAACTAAATATCATGAATACTTTATAGGGAATGAAAGTTTAATTAATAATTTCCCAAATTCTTCTAGAAATGACAAGAATATATATAAGAAGATACTATACATATATATATATATAAACAATTACAGTCCAAGTGACAATTGCATGTATACAAATTTAAGTGAATGTACATGTATGCTTGCATAGATATTTCTGTTGTACATGTATGTGATTGTGATATGACATTTGACAGATATGACCAATGATCAATGATCGACTTCCAACAAAGTTATTTAAATGTAAATAAACAAAATAAGAGAATCGAAATTTCAGAATAAGTCAAATATAAATATTGTGTCAACACAATGTTGTTCATATAAATCTGTACTTTGTTTATTTATTTTAGTAAAAGAAGGTAATAATCTAGTCAAATATAACTTTATCACTAATTATAAAACATTGTATGTATGGACTGCGCATAAACTAAATTTGAAAATGTATAGAGTTGGGTATGTATTTTATGCTTTATTTATGAAGTAAAAGAACAGTTTTAGTCACAGCTTCAGTGTCATTTAAATAGTCATCGAAAAATTTAACATACAATGAATAAGTTTTTATTATTTTTATTCCACGATTTCTCTAACGATACATCGTTCTTGTTATGTTCATTCCATTGATCTTCTTATGACATAATGAAATTCACAAGTATTCTTAAATCCATACGTAATACTTGCGACTTATAGTAACAAATTATGTAACAACTTATTTTACTTCCAATATTTTACAATCAGATAAGTTCGTTTAAAAGCATAGACATTCTGATTTTTTTTATTTCTCGAAGTGTAATAAATAGTTGTTATTGTATAATCAACTCCTAAGTGAAGCCACTTTAAAGTTGCTTAATTTAATAATCTATCATTGTGATTTAATACATCAAAATTGATCTCGACGGTAACCACCTAGATTTAGTTTGTAAATTATTTGTATAATCAAAAATTAAAATTAGACAGAATATAGAATTTTAAAATTAAAGCCGAATTAAGTCTATATTATAGGTTCCGTATCTCTCTTCTTCTTCTTTTTCCTTATGCTCTTGTATTGTGTTTCATTTTTGAACTGGTCCATTCTTTGGAAATCTTATTCTCAAATATTTGGATTATAGAGTTATTAAGAAGAATCAATATGTTTCAGAGAAGAAAATTTTCTTTTCGATGCTATCATTTTGTTAGACCATATAATCCTATTAATAGTCTATTTTCTTTTGAACTAACACTTATAAGATTACTTATCAATACTATTGTACAGCTCAAGAAAATGACATCGTCTAAAAGAATATTTTCTTCAATGGATTTTTTCCTCTACATAGATTACTATTACTGTAATAATATGTGCTGGAATGTAACTCATTTCGAGAGGGGGGTTTCCAGAGTTTTATTGACCATGTTGAATGTTAGTTAGCCGGTGAATAGTGGCATTGGTTGTGCGATAGCGCAAATTAAAGTTAGGTGCACAGATCATTGGATATCGCTTGAGCGGTTTAAAATTAAGGTGCTCGTCATGAGACTTAAGGTCTCGGGTTCGATTCCCGGTTGGGTTTCTGATACGTACCACTAAACGATTTTATGCTAGAGAGAAGTGACTGTCTGATACTTCTTGGTTTTCAACAGTTATCTAACCGATATCAGTTCATTATGTAAACTATATTATGCTTGAATTAATTATTTGATTATTCTTTGATTAGTTAATCGACATTAAGTAGGGAGAATCATAGTGTGTGGAAGTTCCTAAATGAATTATATTGAACGGATCTATTGGTAGTTAACACTACAATACAAGAAACAGTTCACCCTATGATTGCATCACAAACGGTATATGGTATAACAGTGACATAAATGATGAGAGTGAAGTATATTCAGACAGGCTTTATAAAGTAACCAAAGAGGTGACTTTTCATTAAATGTAAGTCACATACACCGATATTATTCCATTTCGCAATTTTAAATGTCGTCTCTATCAGTTCGGGACTATTTCAGGAAGTTTGATTTCTAATCGGTCAATAATTTCTTATATCCATAGTACGTCAGTGATGAAAAGTCTATTTAAGCTACTATTAAGAAATATGTACTTACGAATTTCTCAGTTCAGCAAATAAGCTGATTACACATAGGATTAGGGCGCTGATCATAGTCTTTGTATCTCGATGGAGATCAACTAGTTGACTCTCATTGAAAATTCCAAAGTAGTTGCCACTACATACTTTTCAATTAATATTATACTGAAATTATCTAAATAACTAGTCTACGCTTAGTACTATGAGAAAAGTTTCGAAATATATGTAGAAAAAGTCATAAATTTTAGGTTTTATAATCTGCTAATCAATACAACTCGTTAATTTGTTAATTAGTTAGCTCCGATTTTTTTTCTTAATTTTCAAGTCAATTCATCTTAGTCAATTTGAAAGGAAACCAATCAACTAGTTATTGTGATATATCATATTACTTTGTGTTTAAAAATCTAAAATCAAGCATGAATTACTCTTTTAGTGATTCAGTCAATAGTTCTTGTGATGTGGTAGTAGTAGTAGTAGTAGTAGTAGTAATAGTAGTAGTAGTAGTAGTAGTAGTAGTAGGAGGAGGAGTAGCAGTGGGAAGAGGGAATAATCAAAGAAAGTGAAGAACAGCTAAAATCTTTGCAGAAGAATAAAAGATGAAAAGTATAATGTGTCTTCTATGTTTATTCACTTGTGTGTTTCTATCTACATACATGATTGTATGCATAAAACAACCTATAAATGGATAGAATGACATGTCTACAAGGTAATGAATGATGAATTGGTCATTTGGCATGTGAGCTTCAAAAGATAAACCTATTTTTAAATTATCCTGATATTGAAACCTATGATGATGAAAATGATTAGAACGACGATGATATTGCGCAGCAACTGACTTATTTAATTAGCCTAGTAACAGCTTGCAAAATTTGAACATAAAAATATGTATGTATAATGTCACGGGGTTTAACCGAATTCTCTCTAGAAATTTGACAGATTCGGATGACTGTTTTCAATTGCTTTTACTCTTCATGATATATACATATATGGAAACACTTTCGCAAATACATACGCCTACAGACACAACTACACACAAGGTAAAGAAGAATTGGGGAGAAAAATGGAGTGAAAAAATCACCACCACCATCATCACAACATCAGACGACAACTGGGAAGCTTTTCAAGCAATGTCATTCTGTGTGGTTTGATGAAACACATAAGTTATTGAGATAGTTTGAAATTAAGGAAATTCAAAAGAAAAGAAACAGCAAATGAATCCTGGAAATAGTGAGGACAGAAGAGAAAGAAAAAAGAGAAATTGAGAATTAACAGAAGGTGGAGGTTGCTATTTTGAAATTTTAAAATAATTGAGAGTGTAGGAAAATTTTTTTTTCGTTTGCTAACGTTTCACTGTGTTTATTTTTTTAATACATGAAATTATCTACAAAATTTCAGCTGGTTTATTTCTCTTCATTTAAAGTCTATTTATAATTTGTACATGGTATGTTTAGTAATAAATGAATTGGAGAAGAAGAAATGATACACTGAAAATACCAAATCGATTCGTTAGTATATAAATGTATATCAAAAAGTCATGTAAGAGTAATGAAATTTAAAGATGTATTGAATATCTTGTTATTTGTCACTGGATGGTTTTTCGTAGCCTTTATTATTCATGAAAAGAAGCAGGATATAAAATGACGTACTGCTCATGAAATTACGGATTATCATAGTTTTAATCACAAACTGACCTTAGTTAGATCAACCATGACAACTATGAAGTACTGGATAGCTGTTTGATCATAGTATCCGACTCTTCAGGAATGCGCATCTACGGCTCAACCACAGAAAATCGAACTAAGTACCATAGGTTTTACGCGTAAGCGCTCAACCTATAGACTGGTGAGACAGTATCCAATGGTTAATATGTTCAATTTCAATTAATACTGAGTGACAATCTTTCATTGCCTGCTGTGGATAACTGTCTTACACCCGATATGGTTGAGCCCCACTTCTTACTAGAACTCCAGAGATCGCATCTTAGAGCTGGTCACTAGTGAATACATGGTTATCACCAGTATACGATTTTATGAA